CAAGCCAAAACTTAAAAGTTGACTTCTAAAATCATGAACCTTCGCAGCAAAACTTCAAAGATAATCCCAGCCCACATATAAGCAAATCACGCTAACATTGTGTATGCCCCTTCAATGTGCGAGGGCACTGTCCGGTTTCTACACTCCAAATCCGTAACGTCATATCTATTCCCGCTGACAGCACTACCAGACCAGATGGGAAGAATCTGCATCGGTTCACGTCCAGAGCATGTCCCACGAAATCCCTCTTTAACAACACCATTAACACAATCATGTCACAATAAAACCACGCTCTCAATGGGCACGAATTTGTGATGATAATCAAGATTTAAAACGAAATTGTCGAATTACCTAGCCAAATAACAAATATCATCCAAATTTTCTGAAAACAACACGGTTCGGGCTTCCAAAACAAGCGTAACATGATGCGCTCAAAGACGATCAATCAGCACAAATCCATTCGTGTAATATAAAGTATAAAACGAATGGAATCAATTCGCCAACGGAACGGTATAAATCAAGTCAGCAGTAAAGAATAAGTGACTAACAACAATCTCAGCAGTATCTGCATTCCACACCACCAGCTTACCATTCAAATCTGAAGACACCACAAGTCTTCCCGTTCCAGAAACGTCTACGCTTTGAACACTCGATTCGTGCACCGTTGTAAATTCAATTCGTGGAGCAATGAAAGTCGACTTGGCCATCGCTTTGTCGCTATACGCAACCGCTAAACGTCTCTGAAACCACCATTATAGGTTTGNCTCGAAAAATCAACTTAAACTGCTTTCATATTATAGTTGTTAAAACGTATTTAAATAACTTACTGCGTCAAGCTTTTCCACGTGAACCTTTTGTGGAGCGGCCGTGAACAGCTTCCCAGATTTCTGCTGAACATCGATAAAAGTTGACGGTGAACCGTATTCTCTGATACCAACAAAAAATCCCGAATCAGTCTGAGTATTTCTGAAAACCAGTAATGAGAATTTCAAAACTTTTGCAATCACGCAGTGATAGATTTGGAATTTTCAATTGAAACAGACAAATTTCGCTTAAAAAAACTAATAATTCTGATGGAAATTTCCCGCAAACTATATAGATTTTTTGGGTGATTTAAATAAGGACAGAAAGAATCTGGAATAAAACTATGTGAAAACGTGTAATTTACGTGTGGAAAGAAATTGGTGAACTCCAAATGCGAAATTGGGGATTCATCAACATTTTTCGACAATAACGAAGACTTCAAGTATACTTCAGAAATAGTTACCTGATACAATTGAACCAATCGTGCTGAACAAGTAAGGCATTTTCGTCCAGCTGCTTCATTTCAACCTCGGATCCTTCACCACTCATCGTAGTGCTGAAAGTAACCATTCACATTATCATTAATAAACTCTACTATGGACAAATCCACGCCCAAATCAAAATTATCATCAATGTAATCGCCAAAACTACTGTTATTACTCAACACAAATGAATTTATTGCATGCAACAGGCATCGATGCGTACAACAGTCCCTAAAAAAAGAACTTCCAAATCAGTATTCTTCTCCAGTAATTCTTCGGTTCTAAAACCGTAATTTTTCGCTTCATGGAATAAACATCTAAAGCTGCTCTCACAACATCAACGACCCACCAGTGTCTACGCAAACAACGATAATATTCTATAATTGATAAACATCAGAACGTAAAAATTTCAGCATAAAACATGACATTGCAAATAAAGTTCCAAATTTGCAAATAAAGTTCTCACAAAGAGAAACACAAATTTTTCACATGAAATTTTGCATTTCTCCTCAAAATCCCGCACCTTACAGCAATTCCTTGCATATTCAGTATGCACTGGCCGCAAGATGACTCTGCAAAAACGCCGAAAATGAAAAACAATAATACCTTTCGAATCAAAACATAACCTGAATTGATAACTCAAAAAACGCTGACGATACAAGAAAGAAATTTCTCAAAATTGTCGTTTTTTTTTCTCAAAAAATATTATACGTTTTTTTTCCAACGGCGATCAAACGTTGAGACATGCATCATTAGCGTTTTTATTGTGTGCTTCGTCCAGCTCGTACGAAACCCATCAGTTCAACTTTTATATTTGTATTTATCAATCTGCCGACAGATAAGAAGTTATGCAATTAGGGAAAGTTGACTCGGTTACAAATTTAGCGAATCATGATAGCAGTAAAAATATTCTCCATCCGAATGCGGGAAATTCAAAATTTATTGAAATCATCTTCACCAAACACCCCATCCTCTCTGTTTTCGGAAGGGAGCCCAATGGTACCCGACGGCCTCCGTGGCGTCTTGCGACGAGAGGGTCAGCTGGGAGCTATTCCTGAAAGAACTCTAATAACGGCTGAAAAATGGCCGGAAGACGTAGTCCCTTGAAAAGCTCTTTCAGCTACACAATTAAAAGAAAACACACAACTTCCGAAACGAGCACAACGTCATCCCCTGCCAAAACGGTGGGAGCACGTTATCGTCCTCGAATAACACTTTTATCAATCACATGTATTCGAACATCACAAGCTATGATAAACATCGCTTTAACACATCAAAACGACTACAATATCACACAGCAAATACATTGTTTTATCACGCAGTCACGATGTTCGATTGTCTCCTCGAAACTGATCCATCCATTCAGGACCCGTCCGTAGGTTTTCTGCGTGGCTTTGATTATTAGAACATTACTCTGAAATGAAACATACATCTAAATAATATGAACCTATACCGAACAATTATAACGTATAGCTCATTTGAAACGAATTTAATGGAACACACTAAATTACGACAAACATGCACAGAAAAACATTTTCATTCTTTGGCTGGAGTAATACCTCGAAAATTTTGATTAAATCCTGAAAAAAAGGAAGGAAAGTATAAAATCAACAACGACGAAAATATTTTAGAAATTCAAGATCCGAGATAAATGATGTAGTATGTAGAAAATCATCGAAAAAAAACATTTGATTAGAATTACTTTGTGCAGACCTTTGCAATATCACCAGTCATACTCTCAGTAGATTCCAATTCAACGAAGACATGAAATGCATCATCATAAGCGCGCATAACCACATGGGTTGAAAGATTCATATAAGAATAGCAATAAGATGAAATAGAAAAATCACAGAATGTTTCCCAAACAACTTTCGATCAACAAACACAGGCATCAAAATTCCATAAAGCACTCGAGATAACCCGTAGTCATCCATGAAAACACAGAAGCACTGCGGTACGAATGCCAGGCTCACCCGGTACCGGAATTGGATCACACCCTGGGTTCTCCGCCCATTCTCCCGTCCTCCATGCATCCGAACACCAACATCAGTGTAACAAAGTTTGATGCCTAGGCCTCTTATCTAATTCAAAATGGACTAAACTACGTAAAAATCATTAAGTGGAAATTCTGCCCCATCTTATGGGCCTGGGGAAAATAAGAAGATGTGAAGCTATAGAAAATTAATGATGAAATAACTGGAGATGATGAAATAATCACTCTGTTCAGTGATCATTTCAACATCCCCAATGATGTGGTTTTTTTGACAGATGAAATCTATAAATGACGAGGATTGATGCGAAAGATTCCAGCTTCCTAACCTCTGAAATCCATAGACAAAAATACAAAGTGCAATTATACAGCTGTACACAACGATTGTCATTGCTGTACTCACGAACTCTGTATTACTCACAAAAAAACTCAAATTCTTGAAGGTTCACTCGAAACAGTTTGCATCATTTTATCCAGTTGCAAGTAAAGTAGTTGATTGAACGCTAGAGGTGAGATGAAACAACACTGCTTAATAAACTATGTGTTTGCAACTAATTTTATTTCGCCATTTTCCTGCAATTTTTCATCGAATCGCTCAATGCGTTTCAAAATACTTTCTAAACAGGTGACTCGTTGATCATAGAGCAACCACCAATGAAAATTATCATTTAAAGCAAAGAACAACAACTGCTCTTTCTTCAGCTGAATAACAACTGTTTAAGATGAACACCTCGTCGGAAGATCGTCTCAATGTATCGCTTGAGAAATTCTTAAACTGTGTTATCGTTATCAGTTGTGTTTGGATTTCAGCACGTTTCGAAATCGAGTGTCACTCGATTTCTTCCTCATCAATAGTTTTCACGCTCTTGAATTCCATGCCCCATTGACTGTATACCAAATCGTTATCTCATCTCCCACCAACTTTTTGCGTGATTGAATCTACCCCCCCCCTCTCTAATGATAACCTATTATTTCTCATCGAAAAATCAGTAGAAATCAGGAAATTTATTCATTCTTCAAAAATTTCCCGCTAAGGATTCATCGGTGATTTCTTTTTGTGATCAAACAAGCATTTTGAAAACAATACCTGTCTCTAATTATGTCGAATTGATGGAAAAATCAATCAGCAATGATTTCTTAACCTTCTCAGTTCCAAGAAATCACTGCTGGATCCTTCAAATTCATTTTCTCCTCTCCTTTATTTTTTTAATCATATTATATAAGATGAATATCGTAACAGTTTACGATATTCATCTTATATAATATGATATCTGATTTTTATTACGAAAGGATATATGTTGTTGGACAAAGATTTCAATTTCATGAGATATTGCTTCATCTAACAATCATAATTTTGACCTACATGGTCATAATGATATCAACTATGGAGCAATAAGCATTTATCATCAATTGGTTTGATAAAGATCTGTTCTCCTCTTTGGATGAAAATTTCCCATTGAGCTGGGCGAGGACGGGTGGATGGATAAGTTCGCCTCCTCTGAGAGCAGCCACTGTCCTAAACGAAGACAATTATTGAAACATATTTATTGCTATTCAGTTTGAGAATTCCATCTCGAGATTGCAACGCTATATTTTTATTTATGTTAGGTAGCATAACTAAAATAGTGTTAAATGTCTTTGTTCAATTGCTCCTGTTAATAAGTCACTAAATTACCTATAAAATTCGTTCAGATTGTTATGATTCTGATTGTTCTCAGATTTGGCGCTTCCGCGTTGACCGTTCGCGAATTTAGGTGTTGATTGGATAAACTCGACTTTGAAGAAAGCTTAAATTGCAAACAACTGATTGCGATGAGATTTTGGCATGTGTGCTGACATTCTGACAGTCGTTTATACGTCGTAACATTCATCAGCTACTGACCAATTTGTTGCATGAGCTGCTGACAAATGATTAGTTAACAGAGCATCTTCATTTGAATGTAGGATGTGTGTTCTCATTGCGATTGTGTCATTGAACAGATCAAGCTAGTTTGTCGAGAGCTCAGTCTGCTGCTGAGCGCCATTAGTGGAACATCAAAAAACTGTGAACATAATCGACGATATAAATCTTGCGTTGTTGACGTGTTTCGTTTGATTGTTATCAATCGAATGCTTCAATAAGCATTCAACGATCACGAATGGTATTACTTTCAGAGATGTTCTATCGCATATCAGCCACAGTCATTTCACTAGTATTCGTATTGATCAATGCAAATGAACCAATACCACCACATCTATTACGTCAGCTCAAGAATGCAAATTCATTTGAAGATGTTCTGAGCGTCACTAACGTAGTCTACAAATCGCTCATACCAACATCTGATGAATCCGTTGAGTATGAATCCGTTGNTTTGCGAAGATTAATGGTGGCCTGAGCGAAGTATCAGTCACAATGGATATTGAAAGATAATCGATCACACTTTTTTTCAAGTGTAATCACGAAATCATTTAACACCACTTTAATCATTTATTGCAGTATATTTGCTAGAAAAGAACACCTCGAATTCACTCTTTACCTCTGAAATACATCTGCATTTAACAATGCAAGCAAATCAATTATTCAAGAGCACATAAATGAAACAATTTTCAATGCACATCTATTATCGAAAAGAGTTTCGTTGCATCACATAGGTGACCCGTTAAATATCATCAACTCTATTGTGGATCATCAATATCTTAGAGTAGCCTGAATGAGTGGAAAAGTCATGAAGATTGAATTATTTGGAAGTTCATTTTGAGATTTGTTCTAATCTATCATAAATGTGTAGTTAATGTGCGTATGATGAGCAATTGCACATCACATCAAAAGTGAAACTGCCAACAAATCAGCACGTGTTTCAGATAGTATGCGAAAGAATTTGGATATTCTGAGTTCGATTCGACAAGGAAATGATACTTGCACATTGCAAAATATATGCGTTCCAGTGCCTGTCGACAATCCAGACCCGA